CATGGGTCACTTTAAAAGGTTACATATTTATATTGGAAATAGGAAATGGTAATTGCACCATACAATTGATCAGGACTCATGAAACACTGCACTAAGACGGGACACCGACAAAAAATCCCGAACCCCACCAACTATTTGAAGGAGTTCAAGTGAATTTTACATAACTATGTTCAATTGAACGGGAGCTGATAACTTGACTAAGATAGCAGACCAAAGACCTCAGGATCAGCAATGATTTGAGGTTAACTCGCAACACACCAACCCACGACCCCGGGTAACCATCTGGACGCCGTCGTCAGCCTGAACCGCTAAGGTGACATCTCGCACGACTTTTCCGTTGGATCAGCGCGACACAAGACCAAACTACTTCAACCGACGAGTAGGATGGACGTAATGGACTAGTTCTGTTCGTGAGCGACTGTGCTTTCGTTCGTAGGAAAGATGGTCAGAGAGGGAATTTCGGAGAATGGAGAGCAAGTACTAGGCGAGTGGTGTCCCTTGGGCACACGAATGATGTGACATCTACATAGACAGACTGTCGTAGCGGAGGTCCCGTAAACTCAAGTTCAGTGGGATTAGGATTGTGATTGAATGACGACAGGATGCCGGACCTGGTTTGAATGTTTGAACGGGACATCCCCTGTGAGGAGTGCACCGCAGCCCGTCCTGTACAATGGCAGAATCCTTTTCTCCATTATCTACTTGTACTGACCAGCATTAGCGGTCTAACGAAAAAAGATCGAATGACTGTTGAACCAACGGATATAACAGCTGCGAGACAAGTCACTGGCCAGTAACCCGCCGACAGTTCGACCGCCATCAGCAATAACACCCACCGCGTGACCCACGGAGTGGACGCGTGAGTTAGTTTGGTGGTGCGGCAGACTTGCGGCGCATCTACTGCACTTTTCCCCGCCCCACCCAATTGGCTCCAGTGGCAAGACAACATCAAGGCGGTCGTAGGTGAGAGCGAGCGCAGCAGTTGGCAGAGGCAAACAGCTCGTCCACACGAGCTGGTGCACACACCAGATGCACCGGAGTACAATGACGACGACTCAGGTCCCACAGGGGTCAGAACGGCATGAAAATCACATTAGGAAGAAACCATTTCAGCCCGACTTTCAGTCCTAACCGAGTTGCCCCGTCAGTTAGCAGTCCTCCTAACCACGAGTCCTGGAGCGTCGAGGTGATTTAAGCGCACCAGATTTACTATTCGCGAGGAATGCGTTGATTTGACGTGGTGACAGATTGTGGCCTCACAACCCACTCCGCCACACACAAACACGTGCAATATACCACCAAATTCCCGGCCAGATTACGTAAAACTATTGTACGCATAGTAGTCATTGGCGCAACCTGTGCAGTTAGTCGTTAAACAACACCAAAGACTGGTCTGCCCGGCGACCGGAGCTACATGCCCACCTTCACTCGAGCCGGGCACGTGGTAAGACACTAACCAAGTAAATACGCGTGCCTTAGGAAAGGTGACAAGTAGGCAATCGGCACTTGCGCCTTCAGCCAACAGCCCAGAGGGCTCCTAATTTCATTTAGATGATGAGTAATTTGTCAGGCCAACAACCACACGCCACGCCTGAAGGCAATATTCTAAAACTGGACAAATCGGTTTACCGCAAAGAAACCTACGCGGATGTCCTTTTGCATTACGAGAGCAATCACCCGATCTCTCACAAACGGAGTGCCGTGAACAGCCTCCTTAACCGAGCAAGAACTCACTGCTGAAGTATTTGTTCAAACTGTTTTCCCAGAACGGGTATCCTATATATTTTGTACACAGATGCATGCGACGACAGGAGTTAAAAGAAGAAGAGAAGGAACTAGATTGTTCTGATCAGGCGCCCAAACCAAAAAACTGGCGAACACTTCCGTACATTAAGAATGTGTCCGAACTATTTGAAAGACACCTGAGGCAGCACCAAATACATGTGGCGGTCAAGCCGACGACTACACTTCGTAGCCAGCTTGTACACCCTAAGGATAGGGTTAGCTATTTAGATAAGAAGGAAGTCGTCTATAAGATATCATGCAACACCTGTAATGCAGTTTACTGTGTTCAAACTGGGAAATCGGCCTCTACGCGAATACACGCACATTAGTTGGCCGTAAAATGGCGCGACCATTTGTCCCAAGTTGCCATGCATACGTTGGAAACGGGACACAAATTCGCCTGAGACAGGACTCGCATTGTAGGTGTCTGCTCATCCAAATAGGGCCGTGAATTTTTAGAGGCCATCCGTTCTGATAGCGCATGCATCAATCGACACGCAGAATTGGATACGCGTGCCTTAGGAAAGATGACGTGCAGGCAATCAGGACTTGCGCCTTCCGCCAACAGTCCAGGAACCTCCTAATTTCATTCAGAGGAGGGGTCATTTGTTAGGCCAACAAACAAACACACTTCCTCCCTGCCGCCCTGACTTCATACGTAAGAAAAACCCGTCTTGACATGACTGTCACCCACCTATAAATGCTGTGAGGCGCGATAACACACTCACCTCCGACGATGGAAGGCTGTATGCTTTTGAAACGTCAAGACAGTAAAACTATGGTTCCCGAGATCGCCTTTTCTCCTCACATATATGTATATATGTACACAAACACACGACAGGCGGCCCAAGTAAACCTTACTAGGAGGTGGGGCGAGCTATTTTTGGTCGGCTTGCGCCGTCGCGTCCGAGAGCAACAGCAGTCTTCTGGCGCGTGCGTGTGTTTCCGAGCAGCAAATGAGCAGGAGCTGGTACAAGGACGGCGACTGATTGGCCGGAAGGGAGGGTGCGCCGTGCGTGTGTGTGTGTGCGTGTGCTCCCGTCCCGGACTTGCACATAAACGAAACGGACGGCAGCAGCCGTCGTACGAAAGAGAGCGTATTTGCCTGAAAACTGTTGCGTCAGACGGCATTGTCTGCGTGCCTGTGTGACGCGCGGTAGATGCGCTGGACCAACACAGGGGCCAGATCGGAGTTCACCGGGAATGCGCTTCCGCAACAAATCACAACATTAGGGTGCGCGGTGGCAGGCCCAGTTTCCGGTTCACTACACGGCAGTTGGGATCCGTTCCGCCCCCGCCCCACCCCCTTACTTTTTGCTGTGGAGCAGGGGGTGTGATGGTACACCCCAGGTGCGGGTTTTCGCCGTAACTTTCCCGTTTCCGGTCTTCTTGACTGTGTCTTGAGACTAGGTGGGAAAAGAGAGAATGCGGTGGACGCTACGCAAGTCCGCTATCACTATAAAATAACTCACGTGCAGGTAACCGTCCTCGCTCTCGCCCTGCTGTTGACCTGCATTTCGAGTTAGTTGTGTTCTGAGTTTCGAATTTAGTTAGTGAGCGCGACGGTGCGTCGTCTGTGTCGGTTAGAAAAGGTAGCCGATGCAAAGAGCAGTCCACTCATTTCGGGATTTACAAAACAACCACACGAGAGACACGAGAGGGATAAAAAGTGAAAAAGAGTCTAATACCGCCTGGTCGCCTCCAAGTTAGTGCGAACTTTAAACCGCAGACGGGTTTCGCCGATAACTGTTATACATCATCCAAAGGAATGAATGTAACCCTGATTCAGCCGGGGACGCCACGCCATGCTAAAGCTGGACAAATCGATGCTCAAAATATGAGTCCAAAGAAAACCGTACGCCGAAATCGACAAACAGCCTACTGATCGTCATTGAAGACCCTCATCGCCCTCTCCGGCACATGTGCGAAGTGAGGAGACAGTCTGACGGCTTAAGTAGTCAACACCCCGAAATCTCCTAACTCATTCGGGTTGATGATTATCGACGTGGTAACGAGATTCAAGGGTCATTTCTGCCGTAATCAGATCAAAGACGGATAGACTGACATTTGTGGAAATCTTAGCTTACTAGTTATTAATCACACTACTGTTGTAGCCAATCCAAATTCTTCTGCAACTGTTGCGCATCCTCGTCATAACTTGAGACGGAGCGAACCTCAATCTTTCGTAGTCCCAGCTGTTTGGGCAGCCGTTCCTGTACATTAAAAACAGGATCGCGCTGAAAATGACTTCCTACTGAACGCCTATATGAACAATTGCCCAGTCCCGTTAGGCATCAGCAATACACACAGACGCTAAAGTCTTCCTGTAGAAAACGCCGACGGCCGTTTGAGAAGGTTCTGAATTATCCATTTGGCGTCGTTTAAATATCAGTCGTTTGAGTAGAATACCCAGGAGAGCTTTCTACAAGTCGGCGCACACTGTACCCACTAATTTCAATTACGTGAGTGGTTCTGGAAATAAACGTTGCGATTCGCAAAACCAGGTTCTTCGGTGTTAACGAAATTAAAGAAAATCTGAGAAGGCGGTCGCTTTGTCCATATTTTCGGTGAATTAGTTTCTCCAATTGTCCTTTAGACAAGGATTCGGGTCTCGATTTTGTTTCCGTTTGTTCAAATAACCAAATGATTCATTCGAATTACATGATACCTCAGTGAAGGTTTCGATTCAAAGGCTGTGGGTTCCTCTCTCGAGACTATCCGACATAAGCGTCCTGGGTTTTTAAAAAAAATTAATTTCACGTCTTCGGGCTGTGAGTATCTGGCAGATTTTTTTTAAGTCCCCAAGTCCTCTTGAGATTTCCACTTATTCTTGATGTCACCCATTGAGGTCATGAAACTGGTGATCCCCTATGTGGACCAAAGCTCTACAGCTAGTACTGGATTGAGTTTCTGAAGAACATACTATTAGTAATTGAGTCGGACACGAGTGCAGTGTTCCAGTCTCTTTCCTGGAGCCGAACTCTCACCTAAGGTGATCCTCTCGCATACATTCCTCCTTCCGGTTGCCTGAATGTTGGTCACACACGCCACATTTGGGCTTGAGGCAACAGTGGAGCCCACTTTGCCGGTCACATAAGAGGTCGCTAGATGAACATGCGTGAGGTTCTATCCCAGAGAGCAAGCAATGGGGGGGACTAAGGAGGGGGGAGTATAGTATGACCACTGTCGTAACAAGAAGCAATCGCGATATAATGTTAAAACAGACATGCCTGTAACCGTCCATCCAGTGAGCGTGGAATGGTGACACAGCGCGTTGAACTGTCCTGCGTGGCAACCGCGCGTTCAAGTTCATCTAACTGATTGCCCTTCTTTAACCGTTTCACCAGAGACTTGACGGCTTTCTCCTTCCACTTTTCCTCCTTGTCAGAGCCCTCTTTGATGTAGCTGATGAGGCGCTTGACGACTGGCGACGGACTAACGAAGAGACTCATGGGCGTTCTGTGAGAAAGCACAACAATAAGGGGAGAAAAAAATAAAACATTTTAAAATAAATGAAGTTGAGCACCGACATGTGGACGGGAGAAGATAGACGAACAGTGAGAAGAAATCCACTAACGGTAGTTGCAAAAAATGACGCGCATACAAGGCGAAAACAACCTAAGCAGACCGTGTTAGGAGGCCTGGGTGCAGAGACCGAATGAGTGGGCGGAAGGAGGTAAGAGCCAGAGAAACATCTGGGGTTCATACTAATGTTACAGCGTAACGTGAAGTTGTCGGGTAGTCGAAAACGCTGAATCAATGCTGCTATTCGACGTATTCAAACCTATGGAAAGTTTAGTACGGCGAAATTTGATATAGGAACAGGCAGGAAACCGGCAGAATGGTGGAGGCTTCGTTTTTGCGTTCACAAAAGTGGACTTCCGTTGCTAAACTGGGTGTCACGAATGTGGATTGGCGAAATGCACTCGTTCACGGGTACTCTGTCGACAGCGATACCTGCAGTCGGAAGGACGGGTTGTTAGTGTTTGTGCTTAGCACAGTTGTGTCCATGCTTGATCTACCCGGTCCTGGCGGTGTCGCGGATTTTGCCGCTCCACACCTGGCGACCTGTGACAGCGGATCTGGTGAGCTCGACCGGAGCGCCAGAGACCGAAAGTCGAAGCTCCAAGAACCCCTATCCAGTCTTGACGGACCGTTTAGAGTAAGGTTTCGAGTTAACCTCCTTTTAGAAGGTTTCATGTGAACAACGACGACGGATCGAGGGCAGAAATATTGAGCTCATAAGATGGACGACGAAGAAGGCGCCCAAACAAGCTCAGTCGTCTTTCTTGGATGGACTGAGATATCCTCGCGATGATGTCGCGGCGAACGCAGACTATCTCATTAAAGACGAAATTGGTACACATCACCCGAAGGATAGTCTTCATGTAGCGCTGGTCAAACATGAAGCACGGCCCGACATTAACAGCCGTATAGGGGGACTGGCCGGATGAATGCACGGTGCACACGGATCTTTTTGGCGGTGGAGAAGTCGCGTCAGGTTCATAGGTACTTCAAAAGATTGTAAAAATCTGGCAGGTAGCATCGAGTCGAGAGACGATGCCGGCTTTACTCTGACTATAAGGCAGCAACCCCGCGCCGGGTATTTAAACCTACCCACATCTTTAAGCTGACGGCCATTAATCCGGAAGGGCGCCTTTTCTTGGACAGGGATGCAGATCTAAAACACTTTAATCTTCCCAGTGTTTATGGATGAATCGGCGGATTGAGCGACTCCACTCATCCGTGACACCACACGCCTTAGATCATACTGGCTTGAGGATAGCATGACAATATCGTCAGCGTAGTTTGGATCAGACAGCGGGCCTCCGGGTGGGAACTCAACAGCATTAAAACTGTGTGGGGCCCTTCCGAGAATCCAGTCAATGGCGTGATTGAACAGAATTGGCGACAGGATGCAACCTTATCGAACACCAGATTGGATATCGGATGGTTGGGGGAGAACCCGTGGGGTGGTGGAATGATGGCACGCCTTGATCGTGGCAAGGATTTTGGCCGACACATCATCTAGTTCTATTATTCGCCACAGATGCTCACGATAAACGGAATCGAACGTCAAATGACATGTGGGTGCAGACTCAATGGCGTAAAAACCCTGTGGCCCGTTGTCAGTCTATGCCTTCGGATAGTTAGACCGTGTCCATAAGTGCCTAGCAAACGGCTAGTTAAGGATTCATATACCACTGACTACCCGTTGGCAGAATCTGAATACCACGCAGTTACTCCGCTGAAAATATGCGTATCGATTTGCGGATCAAAACCGAGATGGTTTGTGTGGGAGAATTTAATCCAAGCGCGCACACACTAGTCGCTGATAACATTTAAAAACTCAACATCTAAAACTGTAGTATAAAGTGGAGAAGGCACATGAAGAAACTGGAAAGGGCAACACTAAAAACTGGAGTATATACCAGAATGCACATGGGAGATGCTGGAAGACCCCCAGATGAATCTAATCCCTCGCAGCTACGCCATGCAGCTTCACCCAAAATCGGCGAAACACGTGTCTGGGCTTTTAACTAGCACACGTCCAGCGAGTATGGCAAATGAGTCAGTACGTTGAGTTCTCCATAGTCAAGTTAGTGGCGTGTGGAGGATTGAGTCAGCCATGTGGTATGAGCAAAATACTATTCTACTTCTTAAGGGACTCGGGCAAATTGAGAGATAAGTGAGACATTTAGATCGGCCTTAAAGAAAGCCTTCAGATAATACACATGGGTATTGACCCAATACAGAAAAAGCCAACAAATGCAAAATGACCAACAGCACTTACTTATTGTACCCCGTGTCATTTGCTTAGTTCTAGTGTTAGGCTACAAGTCTGCACTTAGCATTTAGATTGACGGTAAAAAGAGGAAGTACATGTGACAATTTCAGTCGTCTCGACTGCTTAACAGGCTCATAATCGAATTCGAATACAGTGACGAAGGAAGAGGAGCGGTACAGTTCCTATAGGATTGGAGGAATTTTTGAGTTTGTAAAATGCACAAAAAGGGACGTCCACCCACAAAAAGATGGTTGGCTAATTATATCAGAAAGTCGATCAAATGCAAACAAAAAACCCTAAACTAAGCTCCGTTAGAGATTAGAAACGACTTAGTAACCTTCTGAGATGTCATCCAGTGTGTTCTTTTTTCCGGATACGAAATCAACGGAACAGAAACAACGTCAAGCGTCAAGAAAACGGTGGCAACTCACTGTTTAAAGACGTGCTATGCACTTTTATCTGCTTCCATACACCTAAACTGCACATTAACGAAAGTGAGACCCATGCATGAGTTTGACTGCTCACCTGACAGCCAACTCTACATGAGCTACTGGGCGCTGCGTCGTCAGCATCCTTTGTACTCGAGTAACGCATAGCATGTGTAATTGAGTAGTAAGCGGTGATTCACTTAATCGGGCTCTAGGACTACTGTTAGCAGTCCTTCTAAATACTCGTCCGCGCAAATAAACTATTGTGTATTCAATCGTGTCCAGCAGCTGGATAGGAGGCGTTTGACCGATCGACTACAAGCATCGTCGCATAAGCGCTGATGAGGATAACAGTGGTAGATGGAAGAAATTAGAACGTAGGGACGTTTCCCGGGGACGCCTTGTAGACCGAAGCATTCTTAAAGAGCACTCTGTCGTAGAAGTGCAGCAAAAACTATAGATTCTAGGAGGATTGAGGCCACTGGCAAAACGCTTTTAAATAGCTTTAGGTCAAGCGACCTATCGCCAGCAAACAAAGATTGATGCGCTAACGATGGCAGTCACCGTGTAATATTGGACAGGGCTGATCCGGACGACAAATGATCAATGCTGAATTCGTGGATAAACGTGTTTGAAGATTTGTCTAATTACGGAGCAGGTCTACTAGCAACAAGGCATGCAAGCTTACGTTTCCAGCCTGAATAAAAGTTACCCAATTTATGCTATGTTTACGAGAGACAAAAAAACACGTCGTATACGGAAGCTCATTTTCGAGGTCTATATCGACGAAGAAGCGACGACTGGAGATTTAGCTGTATTAGGTATGACCAGAAGTCTACTTCCCGACTCAGTTTTAAATGGTCGAACTGGAGCTTGGTATTGAGTAAGATAGAGTTTAACTGCCGCCAACCAAGGATCTATGAAGCATTATAGAGTTCCAGAGCCATAAAAGGCATTGACAGAAGATACGAGCGCATCTGACTTATTCCTCAGTCTAGTGGGCAATTCAACTATGCAACATGCAACGAGGGAGTAAATATTTGTCAGCAATACTTTCTGGGTTTTAGCGCATATTCCTGATAAGAAAGCCTCTAGGTGAGAAAGGGGGAAAGGTTAGAGTACCTAGGTAAATTGTGGAAAACTGAAAGCTTCCCTTAGATGTTCATCGGCTACCAAATGAGAACTTGTTCATAACGATTCGTATACACTGCACATTAAAATGTGTAACACGCAATGTTCCCAGTCTGATCTAATATATAGCGGATGCCATGACGAGAAATTTTACATTCAGAAATGTAATGTAGGATAACAGACTTTCGAAAGGATAGGCGGATTTGTATAATTCCAGAATTAGTCGGCATACTGTGTTTGGGCAGTACAGTTTGGAAAACAAGGTTCTAATCTTAAAAATTAAGCGTGCTAAGACAGTGGAACGATATTTTCGGCTTGAGACATTGAAGTGCTTAATAATGTCTGCATCAACGTGGCCAATATGAACTAGGTAGCGCAATAAACGATATAAAATGTGGACTCTCAAGAGAGGTGCCGGCAAAATAAAGCTGGTAGACACTGAGTCCCAGCAAAAGGACCCCCAAAATCTGCTACAATAGAGGTAGGCAGCAGTAGTCAGTTCATTAATAACAATATTAGCGGTTGTCTAATCGAGGCATCTGTCCATGGAGTTAACAAATATCAAGTGAGAGAAAATGAGACAATTTGTGGGCCTGACCACCACAAGGGTGGCAACTAAAAACGTTTTTTAGACCGCTATTTAGTTCGTAAACGTGCCTAAGAACAAAAGTGGGCTAGATCGGTCATAAAAATAGATAATCAGTGCGGGCGATTAATTGTCCAGCTGACCTTGAACGTTATTTATAAATGGCGCGCGAAAAGGCTAATAGATTCATTCCTATTTTCCTCTGTAATACTCCAGATAAGATAGGGACAAACAGTTCACAACACACACACACTGACGTAGAACGTGGGGAGCGATGATGAGAGTTTATTTACTATTAATAATGAAACACACGAAGCGCAGATGGGCGAACTTGAGATACTGCCAGACTCTTGTCGAGTTATAGTCATTTGGGCAGACCTAAAGCGTAAACACAAGAATAAAGGTTACCAGGAAGGTATGACAATGCACGCTTGAAGTGTGGCGTGTGTGACAAAGCCTTCCTCTCTGAAAGGCCGCTGTCCTCATTGGCTGGAGGAAGAAACTTCGACGGTTTGACCAACCGGGATATTGTCGCTAGGGATTATGAGAGGTGGGTCAAGGGGTTCGAGGGGATGATCCGCCTTTAACCTGTTAAAGTGGACTATGAGGGCGTTCGGGTTGTCGGCCTCGAGTATTCGATAAACGTTGTTGGGTAAGCACTGGACGACGGAGAAGGGGCCGGACCACGTATTGTGGAATTTGCTAGGTTGCCCCGGTGGAGGATTATCCCTGTGAAGCCACACCGCATCGCCTGGTTGGAACGCTGAACCGTGTCTTTGTAGGTCGTAAAAGCGGGCTTGTGATAGTTGAGCTTCCTGCAGGTGTGTGCTGGCCAGCCGTTGACATTCTCGATGGATCTCTATCAGTCTCGTGATGTAGGATGGGGGCGTGGGGAACTCGGGTCTTGGGGTAGGTAGATAAGAGTCCAAAGGGAGTTGAAGTTCGCGGCCGTAAGTCAACATAGCGGGAGTGAAGCCCATTGACTTGTGTATGGTACTGCGGTAGGATAGGAGACAATGGAAAATGAGGGTGTCCCAGATGTCGTTGTTGGCCAAATCTATGAACGCTCGTAATAGAGACAAAATAGATTTATTGGTTCTCTCCGTCTGTCCGTTTTCTTGTGGGTGATAAGCTGTGGTCCTCGTTTTCTCTATGCCGATTCGACTACATAATTCATGTACTAAGAGGCTTTCGAAGTTGGCACCTTGTCGGAGTGAATAACATCCGGCACCCCGAAACGGGCAACCCACGTACTCATGATCGCATCTGCGACTGTAGCCGCTGTCTGGTCAGGTAGGGGAGCTGCTTCCGCCCATTTGGTGAAAAAGTCGACCATCACTAAAAGGTATCGATTACCCTTCCGTGATTGTGGGAAGGGGCCCACGATGTCGACTCTAAGGCGCTGATTCGGGTAGCCGGTGGACATCGGTTGCAACGGTGCTCTGGGATTGTGAGTGGGATGTTTAAATCACGCACAAACTCAGCAATCTTGGCATATGAGTGCCACATCTTGACGAAGATTAGGTGACCAGAAGCGAAGCCTCGCCGCTTTTTCCAGTTGGCCTTGTCCCGCGTGGCCCAGTTGGAGGTGTAACTCCCGTAAGACACTGCGTGTATGAGCCCGAGGGAGGACGAGGCGGGTCGGGGATTGGGGGTCATACTTGAAGAAAAGTACTCGATCCCTCATATGAAGGTTTTGCCAGGAGGCCCACAGGGCTTGTGCTTCACGGCTTTCTCTTGACATCTGATTTTTCGACGGTTTGATGGAACCTCGCACAAATCGGCCGTAGATGAGACCGACATCTGGATCATTGGCTTGTAGGTTAACCCAGTTCACCGCCGAAGTGGTCACCGACAAAGCATTAGCGTCGAGATCTTGGCAAGCGGAGAAGCTGTGGGTCTCGCGCATGGGAATTCGCGATAGTGCGTCCGCGTTAAGGTGTTGCTTCCTAGGGCGATGTACAACGGTGAAGTCCAAATCCGCCTACATTTCCTGCCACCTTGCTACTTGTCCTTCCGGTTCGTGGAAATTTTGTAGCCACTCCAGAGCTGGGTGGTCCGTCCTAATGATGAAGGGTTTGCCTTTTAAAAGCGCAGCAAATCCCTTGATGAAGGAGACTTGAGCTAGCATCTCTCGTCGTGTTGCGCTATAATTTCGTTCCGAATTATCAAGCGTAGGGCTGCCGTACTGTATAACGTGCTCTCTGCCATCGGTGTCTGTCTGCGACAGTACTCCTACGGCGTGACTACCAGCAGCTGTATCTAGGTTAAATGGGGGTCCGTCACGACTGAGATCGGGAAAACTGAGAACGGGGGCGGCGGTAAGGGCTTCCTTGAGGTGTGAAAATGCGTTCTCGCATTCGGTTGTCCACCTAAATGGTCGGGACTTCTCGGTCAGTCTCGTGAGAGGGAAGGCAAGGCGAGCGTACGACGGAATGAAAGCCCTGTAGTATCCTGCTAGGCCCAGGAACGAACATGTTCTTCATCTACGTTGACCGGTTGTGGCCAGTTTATGACTACCTGGATCTTGTCAGGGTCCGTTTGGAGGCCCTCGCGGCTTACCATGTGGCCGAGGAAGCGAATTTCTAGTTGGAGGAACTTGCACTTCCTTGGATTGAGTGTCAGACTGGCATCTTGGTACCTCGTTAGGACTTCTGAAAGGCTGTCTAGCAGTTCTGATATCGTGGTACCCCACACTATGACGTCGTCTATGTAAACAAGGCACTTGGAGGGACAGAGGTTTTTCGGTAATTTCTGCATGAGGCGTTGGCAGGTCGCCGCTACATTAGCTAGGCCCATAGGTAGTGTGGTGAACTCGAAGAGTCCCGAGGGCAGGGCAAAGGTGGTTTTTGCGCGATCTTCTGGGTGTTCTTCGATTTGCCAGTAGCTCGAGGAGAGGTAAAGGGTAGAGAAGAATTTCTTCCCTGCCATAGAAGCTAGGATGCCGTCCAAACGGGGAAGAGGAAAGGCATCTCTGACCGTGACCGCGTTGAGGCGTCTGTAGTCAACACAGAGACGAAGGGAATCGTCCTTCTTTTTTACCAGAGTTACCGGCGCTGCCCACGGGGAGGAGGAAGGTTGAATGATGCCTTGCAGGAGCATGTTTTCTACCATCTTATCTAGTTCTTCCCGAAAGTGGAAGGGTATCCGTCGGGGAGGGAAGTGCTGTGGAGGAGCGGATCCGGTGTTTATCCGGCGTTGGACTACGTTGCACCGTCCGATAGCCTAGTCTGCCCATGTGAACACGGATGTGAACGGTGCCAACGCGTGGTATAGGGCGCCGCGATCGTCTGCTGAAATGTTATCCGGTAGGATATCTTCGATGGAGGAAGGGTCGAGGGGTGGTCGTGTATCGATCTCGACACTGTTTACGTCCACCGTTACCTCGTCATCTTTGAGGATCAGGGACTGGAAGTGGGGGAGATGGTAATGGCCTGGGCATGTCGTTTTAGAAAACACAGCCGAGGATAACATTCCATTGCAGTTCAGAAGACACGAGGAAGTAAGGTCGGATAGTGGTGTCTTTGATGGAGACTGGCACTGTGGCGGAGCCGCTAAGCTGGAGGGTGGAATTGTTAGCGGTGAGAATCTGCAACTGAGGGAATGCCGACTGCATGTAGTTTGTTCCGTGGAGGAGGCTACCGTGAATCAGGGAGACGGCTGCGCCCGTGTCTACAAGGATGCTGACTCTCTTATTGGCCACTGTGCCCGAGATTGTCAATGGCTAAAATCAGAGGGGAGGGTGTATAAAGCGGCTAGGGGAAAGGGCTGGTTACCTGAGTTGTGTCTGCATTTCTTGGCAGCTGTGCCGAAACGGTCGCAGTAGTAACAGTGATTGTTGTTTGGCGGGCCTGGGAGCCTGGGGGGTCGGAAACGTCGGTTTAAATTGGTTTGGTAGGGTGTGGACCGGCCTGGGAGGTTAGATGGATGACCCCAAGTAGTTGGATCTCTGGTGGCTTGAGGGTCCTGTGCCAAGGGGAATTGGGTGCGGCGCGCCGAGTCCAAGTCAAGAGCCTCCTTGACGTTGGCCGGTGGACGGCTGGTGAAGATTAACGCTAGTTCACGGTCGCGTATGCCCGACATCATGCGACAAAACGTTAGATCTTCATCGCCGTGAGGTGGAAAGGCGCGAAACGAGAGGTGATTTAATCCTCTATAAAAATTCAACAGGGTCTCACCTTCCCGCTGGGTTCTATTGAAGAACCGCTGTTGTTCCGCGGCCTGGCTGGACTCTGAATGGAAAATCTGTTTAAGGGCTCCGAAGTATTCCTCGAATGAGCAGAAAGGAGAGGGAGCCAGCCCATCTACCTTGTATACAAGTTCGGGGGCGAGAAGGGATCGAAGTGTGGTCTTCCTGAAGTTTTCGGGGACCAACTCTAAGTACGGCTCTGCTAGAGAGATCCATGTGTTGCATGTTTGCGATGAATAACGGAAATCCTAGCGAGATCATCGTGCACGGGGACGAGCCTTTGAGTACTGGTTCCATACACAAGGAATCTACCTTTCCGCACAGCCCTGTATGTTAGGGTTCTACAATGGTGGTAGCGTCTTCTACGGACTCAAGCCTAGCTGACATAAAGAATAATGTTACCATTGCCCCAACACAACTGCTACTACCTAAATATGAAGGCCGAGAAGAGTTTCAGGCCTGGCTAAGACGCAGCCGTTTTTATCTAAAGGAAATACCGGCAAATGAACGCAGCCGTGCACTACTAAAAGCCCTTGGTCCACAACAACTAGATAAGGCCCTTGACGCAGGTCTGACGACAAAAATGTCCATGGACGTATTGTGCAAACGACTGGAACAAGTACTCCGCCCTACACTATCTCTTAGTGAGGCCATCAACGGCCTTATTGGAAGACGATACCAGTCTTCTGAGACGCCGCAACAGTACGCCAAAGATTTACTCCGATTTGCCGATGCGGCTTACCCAAAACTCGCACAAGCCGACAGAGAGAAAGTGGTTCTCCACCACTTTCTCGAAGGCTTAATGTTACAGGACCTAAAACACGCGTTCATTATGCACCCACTGTTTGAACTCCAAGACGCGATAGCGCGTGTCGAACGATACCGGCAGGCGAACACAGCACACAACTTGATCAACACACCAACACAAAGGCCAGGAAATCAAGGAGGAAACCGACCGCATCTGGGCTCCTATCGGCTTGAGACTGGTTTTCAATTTCAGCACTTATTTTTCTTATTCAAGGCGATACAGGCCAGTCCTGACCGACCCGCCTACGTACCATTTTATGAAATCCCGTACACAATGCCATATACAGCTGACATTTATTTCGGCCATGTTGATGTCGGACTATATTCCATTTTGTACCGCCACATGCAGGCCAGTCCTCCCTGTTTTTTTCTGATGCTATTTTTCTGAGGGGTTTTTTTTCTCCTGTTAAATTACTACAATCATTTTTAAATTTTGCTTTGGAGTTTTTTTCACCCCTCGTTTTTTTTCATTTTCATTTTGCTTAACGGACTTCTAATCTCAAAAACTATGCATTGCACTTTGTGCAGATTTTGCCTACATCGTCTAAAATTTGCATGTAAATTTATTTTTACTTGCTTTGATGGGACCCCGACGGGTCTTTAATAAAAATAATTGAATTGAATTGAATATGGACAACCGTGGCGTCCGTGGACGTACAGGCAAGATACAAGAACGGCGACAGGCCGAGGAAACGCCAATGTACGATTTCCAACATGCCACACAAATTTTCAACAAAACCAATATACACCGCAACGCAATCCCAATACGCCAAAGAGGTACGCATGCAGCTCGACTACGAAACCAACCACCAGAGATGAAGATTCGAGTACAGTATGCGTTCCTACTTGTTCTGATAACTTTAATGCCAACGCTCCGTTTTATGCTATTGTAAAATCTTTGGTCGCTCAGTTAAGGCAGTAGTTGACACGGGCCCTACAGTGTCGTTAGTTACCAACCACATACTGCCCAATAACTGCATAAATGACAGAGGCACAGAACGTCCCATACCTACGCTAGTTACAGCTGATGGATCATGTATGCGTACCGCCGGCACACTCCAACTACCAATCACATCCCCAATTCTACTAAGGAAAATGTTTTCATAGTCGTCCATAAGTTAGCCTGGGACGTCCTACTGGGGCTGGGTTTCCTGGCTTCCAACCACTGTGTTATTAATGTACACGACCACGTCTTATCCTTCACTCCTGGGGCAACGCAGGCAGTTTCAACTGTAAATATGGATGAAGACACAGTAAGCGCATCGATAACTGCTGCAGTGGCCCTACCAACCACGAATATAGACGGCATACTACCGAGTGAGGACGACATTTCCAACACACACAGGATGGAGTTGAAAACGCTCCTCGCCAACTTTACGGACATGTTCGCATGGAACGACTTATCAATAGGGCGAACATCGCTTATTCGAAATGCCATTGATACAGGGAGGGCGAAACCGTTTTGGCAACCCGCACGTCGTGTTCCGGCACAATTCCAACAAGAGGTTAACGACCTCATTGATAGAACGTTCGCCACAGGGGTCATCCGGTTTTACATGTCGCCCTGGGCCTCACCAGTTATATTAGTTCCGAAGAAGGACGACAAGTTACTATTTTTGCATTGATTATCATCGATTGAGCGCTATCACCACGCGAGACTCATTCCCTCTGCCACGTATAGACGTCACACTAGACGCCCTAGCTGGTGCGAAATAGTTTTCGACCATCGACCTTAAATCGGGTTATTGGCAAGTCGAAGTGGAACCAAAGGATCAACATAAAACCGCATTTATAGTACCAGAGGGACTGTTTGAATTCGAGACCATGCCGTTTTGGTTATGCAACGCAGCGGCCACATTCCAACGACTCATGCAAATGGCTTTAACTCCTCTATACCCGCACTGTTGTTTAATATATTTGGACGATGTCACAGTTTTCGGAAGCACGATGGTACAACATGATTACAACTTGACGGCAGTCCTTACAGTGCTACGCGAAACAGGCTTACGGTTGAACCCACGAAAATGCCAGTTTCTGTACACAAAGGTCACCTTCTTAGGACACGATATTAGTAAAGATGGCATCTATGCATCACCCGACAAAGTTGCCGCCGTGCAAACGTGGCCGACACCGCAAACACCAACCAAAGTCAGAGGTTTCGTAGGATTGGCATCCTATTATCGAAGATTTATGCTACACATAGCGGAAATTGTCCGACCTTGGCACAGACTCACCGAGAAAGGCCGGAAATTCCAATGGACCGAGGAATAATAGTTTTTTAAAATAATAATAACGGTTTTTTATTAATGACCCGTCGGGGTCCCATCAAAGCAAGTAAAAATAAATTTACATGCGAATTTTAGATGAGGCAGGCCGAATCTTTACAAAATGCAATTCATAGTTTCTGAATTAGTAGTCCATTGAGAAAAATGGCTAGCGAGGGGTGAAAAAAACCCCATACAAAAATTTAAAGATGGTTGGATTAATTTTACAGGAGAAAAAAACCCTCAATAAAAAATAATAACAGAAAAATGCGGACAGGACTGGCCTGTAGGTGGCGGTATGTAACGGATTACAACTGGACATCGTCAGGGCAGAAATAAATGGCAGCCTTGAGGGGTACGTATGCGGGTCAGACAGGACTGGCCTGTATGTGGTATTGTATACGGGATTCAGAACTGACATCGTCTGGGCCGGATTGATACGCCGGATGAGACTATTCGCGTCCAAGAGGCCAGGCGAGAGGAATCTAGACGCGATCGGCCACAGCACGTTTCGAGCCCAGCCGAGGAGTGGGCAAGTGAGGTACGACCAAACTACTAGTAGACGGCGAATACTGAGGGTTCCACCGTGAGCGTCGACAGACCGCATGAGGTCGGAATGCGGGAGATGATATCAAAAACCGCGAAAATTTTCGTTATGGGGGAGGAGTGATAGCAGTGGATTTAGAAACCAATTCAAAACAGGGTTTCTCATGATATAATTGAGGGCTATCACTTGATCTACCACTAACTCCCAGGAGGACCCTTCTCGAAGTCAAGAAGCTGGGTGTTCGGGAATGATACCGTTAACAGTGTCTTTATGCTTTCCGATGTAAAATGTTTGCGTAATTTCGATTTGAATACCCGCAACTTAGGCGATGATCTAATTTCAGGCGGAAGATTATTCAAAAGGAAAGCATATTTGGAAGCAAAGAAGAGGGAGCGCTTAGATGTTATCCAAAGAGGCTGCGGAATCACCATGCAGGAGTTGCGCGTGGCATAAGACCGATCGCTCGGAGTGAGAGTGTCAATGAGCGGAAGATCGGAGCTAGAGTTAATGCGAAAAAGGAAGCAAAGGCCAGCTTCGAGTTTTCTAACCCACAAAAACTTAATGTTCGCCAGCTGACATCGCTGAGTATAAGAAATACTGGACAAAGCTTGAGAGAACAGTTTCCGGATGAGAACCCTCTGAACATTTTCGATTTTATTACGGTCGCAGGCGTTCATTAAACCAAAGAAAGGACAGCAGTATTCGAGGACTGGAAGAACAAACATTTGATAAAATCCTAGCTTCATTTCCGGAAAGAAAAAATTATGCGACATGAATCCACATATGTGCGCGGCTTTGGCAGAGATTCTATCTGCATGAGATGATAAAGCAAGCTTATTTGTATAACTTAGACCTAGGTCCTTTTTGGTGAGGCATTCCGAGAGTGGGTTATTCTGAAAAATTATGGCATTAGGAGGTTTGGCAGGACCAAAAGACATGAAACTACACGTGGATGATGAAAACACCATTTGCCATGTTGAACCCCATCTGCTTAAGCGTAGTAAATTGGCATTAATTTTTTCAACACAAACGTTTGCGGTGTTTATAGAGTATGAGTAAACACACTTGAGGTCATTGGCATAAGAAAAAATTTGCGAATTTCCAAGTTCAGTCGAAATATCATTGATGTAAAGAAGGAAGAGTAGCGGACCCAAAACCGTTCCTTGAAGTACGCCACTCGTGATCGAGTGAGGTGTCGAGTAGCTATTACCGACCATGGCTTTCGGATATCGGTTGCACAAATAGGACCTGACGAAGTCGAGTAGAGGCGGCCGGATAC